AAAATCATGAAATAAATAATCATTATTATAAAATATTTTTTATTATTCCATTAAACTATTGTTACTAGGATACATTCGACAAGTATTGCAATCATTAACTAATGTTAAACATTAATTTTTTAATAAAACACAATTAAAAAGAAACATTAATTTTTTAAATAAAACATAATTAAAAAAAATTTATTTTATTTTACTGAGTCGGATAGGTTGGTAGTTATGTTTTAAAATATATTAAAATAATATTTTTTATTTTATAAAATTTATTTTTGATATTAATATATGATAATTTTATTTTATTTTTATTTTTAAAAATAAAAAAATAATTATAATTTAACCACAATCCAAACATGGCCGTAATCATCATTTATAAGAAGTAAGCTAGTGATAGCTTGGCATTGGCATTGGCATTGGCATAAATTATTTTATTCGGTTTGGCACCCCGTGCATTTTTTGTTAGTTTTAATTTTTTACCATGTAGAGCCTGTAGAGAATGAAAACTTAATCATATACGGAAACAAACGGGATGCATGTGAAGGCAACCTTTGACTGCTTCTTTCAATCCTGCATTGGAAACACAAAAAATAATAGGGTCTATGAACAGTAATTAGTGATTTTTTCTTTATCAAATCTTTGGTTTTTATGTTTTGCTTTAAATGCAAACTCCACCGTATAAACAAATAGCCTACGTTTAGTATTATAATAGTTGTTGTGATTATAATTTAAAAAAAAATATTTTGTAAAAAAGTATTTTTAGTTAAAATTAGTTTGAAAAAATATATGTTTGGTTAAAACTGTAGTTGAAATTGAAATTGAACAAAAATTAGTTTAATGTATTTGGTTAAAAGAATATTTTTCAAATTGAAATTGATTTGAAAAAATATATGTTTGGTTAAAAATGTAGTTGAAATTGAGATTGAGCAAAAATTATTTTAATGTATTTGGTTAAAAGAATATTTTTCAAATTGAAATTGATTTGAAAAAATATATGTTTGGTTAAAAATGTAGTTGAAATTGAGATTGAGCAAAAATTATTTTAATGTTTTTGGTTAAAAGAATATTTTTCAAATTGAGGTTATAAAATAATATATATATATATATATATATATATATATATATATTGATGGTTTTTAATTTAAATGTTGCAAAATTAACCACTGTTATTACATCATGAAATAAATAATATTGATATCAAATATTTTTATTATTATTTCATTAAACTATGTGCAATTTCATCACTTGCAAAATCTATCCAACAAGTACTATATTTTCTATGGTTTCTTAAACGTGTAACAACAAAAACTGAATTTTTTATTACGTTATCAAACGATCTTCTTCTAGTTTTCTGAATAAAACACAATTATAAATAAAAATAAAAACTAAATTTTTTAACTAGGTCTGACCCGGCAAAAATATAATTGGGCTTGTGATCAAATTCTCTGAATATTACATCATCAAGTGATCTTCTTCTAATTTATGTAGTATTATTAAATAATATTATAGACTGGTTTTTAGAGTACAATATAATTTATAAAAATAATTTTTTTATGTAAGTAGTTATTGAACTGGCACTGTTCACATGAATAACGTGAAGGTGAATTATACTTGTCTGACATTGTTCACTCAAAGTGAACAGTGCCTCACGTCAATTCACCTGGTTGCAGGCGTGAGAAGCAGCTGCTTCTCACAAAACGATGTTTCGAATAAAAATATATATAAGTCTCACGTGAAAAGCAATTAAGTTTTTATATTACTAAACTTCATGTTTACACGGGTAGCTTTAAAAGCAGAAGGTACCGTGTAAACAAACACCTACTAAATACCAGAATCATAACCACTATTTTCATAATGCTATTGGTTTTGAATTTTAAACTTTTTTATTAGTGTTTTTTTTATATAGTGATGTCATAAAAAAAATTAAAATAAAAATATATCATAAAAATAGAACGAAAAATAACCCTAATAAACTCTAAACAGTTTTATTTAAAGTAGGGAATTTTCTTATTTCGTTATAACTATTAAAAAACCATGAGTGAAAAATGAGATAGTTGCATTATTGGTGTATCAAAAGGTCATC